GAAATGCAAGTATCACATTCTGTATACACCAATGACCATATTAAAAAATGTATTTATTATGACACTTCACCAGCTGAACTGAAAGCATTCATAGGTCTGCTATACTTAGCAGGGATTTCTCATGGTGATCATAGGAATGTAAAAGACATTGAAAATTGATGAATCAAAAGATGTAGATGAGAAGACTTATGACACTTTCAATTTAAACATTTATCCTGGAACTCAGCCATCAGGTCCTTATTTATATAGCAATAGACCAAATGATTTTATGAACAGATTTGTTGTTCCCATCTCCCAAACTAATTGGAATGTGACATTCAAAAATTGGTTTATCCATTTCCAATTGATGTTACATTTGCTAACAGCACAAGTTGACCGCTGTAGAAACTGTGCACAAGAACAAGGCAGAAGTTCCAAATGAAATGCTGCAATTCCAAAACAGAGAATTGTATAACACAATCTTTAGATGTCAGAAGGATATAACATTGGTGTCATTTATGACAAAGAAAAACAAACTAGTACTACTGATGCCAACATTTCACTATGATGAAAATATTGATAGGGAAATCTTGAGAAAATGGAATCCTTTGGTTTCTACAACAAAACCAAAAGTGGAGTAGATGTTGATGAGTTATGCAGCAACTAGATGTCACTTGAAACACAAAGCATTGGCTAACGGTTGTATTTATTTAATCCTAAATGTGTGTGGCATAAATAGTTTGATAGTTTACAAAGAAAATAACAGGTATGAAATATCATGGAGAAATTTTCCTAGAGGATTTGGACTGGAGGTCAGAAGATATCATTTACAGCAGAGGAAAAACAAAATGTTTCTGCTCAGGGAGCTATGCAAAAAAACTGTGAAGCACACTGGTGAACTGACAGGCACAGAATCACAAACACCTACGACACCAACAGGAAAACAGGAAAGATGTCAACTGTGTCCAACAAGAAACTACAGGAAAACAAAATATAAATGCTATCAGTGTGATACTTATATATGGAACATGCAGTAGTGATGTGTGAAGACTTCCTTGGGTGTGACAGTTGAAACAAAGCTTATTTCTGTGGTAGACTTTTGTTTGTGCTTACATTGTAGGTCACATAGGTTTAGGTTTTGTGAGCAAGTAAACAGCTAATGTGAAAATGCTGATGTCTACTTTAAGCACTCATTACATATTTGATGTTTTGTTTATTGATATCTTATTTCCCTGCTAAGTACACATTACACAACGTAATAGAAAGTTCTTGACAAAACAGGCAGAGAGGTGATAAGAATTGCCTGCCACATAGGAAAAGAAAGCTAAGCACACGTGCTGTCAGTATAAGAAAGATATTACATAGAACATGCTGTTGTGTGAAGACTGTCTTGGTGTGACAGTTGAAGCAAAACTTGTTTTTGTAGTAGAGTTCTATTCATATTTTTGTTGTAGTTAGGAATATAGGAATTTCTCTCTCTCTCTCTCTCTCTCTTTCTCTCTCTCTCTCTCTCTCTCTCTCTCTCTCTTTCTTTTTCTTTTCTTTTTTCTTGGTACTGGGAATTGAACTTAAAGCCTCACATTTGCCAGGCAGGTGGTATGCTACTGAGCTATATCTCTGGCCCTACAAATTTATTTCTGATGTCATCTTTTATGTTTTGTAAGCAAGTACACAGCCGATGTGAAAATTTTGATGTTTATTCTAAATGCACTATACATATTAACAATTTAATATTTCATTTATTGATATTTTATGTTCCTGTTAACTACACACTGTATAATACAACACAAACCTCCTGACAAAACAGCAAGACCACTGAGATGTCAGGAAACAAAACACATGTGCCATCAGTGTAAGTGACATGTGTGTATGGAACGTTCTGTTGTCATTTGTGCCTTAATTGAAGTAAAGATTATTCATTTGTAAAACACTGTTGGTATTTTCATTGTAGTTCATGTAAGAATTTATTTTTGCTGTTCTTTTTTAGACAGTATAAAAAAGCAGTTGATATTGAAAATTTTGATGCTTTTTCATAAACAATAAATATTAAAAATTCAATACTTTATTTTTGTGATTTTTTTCTGTTAAGTACTTAATGTTAAAATTCATAAGATGAAAATTAATAATTCATCAACAGAAATATTCTAAAGAATAAACATGGGTCTGACAGACTCAAGTGTCGGGCCTGGATGCTAAAATTAGTATTATGCCCCAAAGGCAATATGTTGTGATTAGTTAAACTGGATGACAATAAAAAATAACAGTGATTGCCAAGGAATGAGGAGAAAGATAAACAGGTGGAACACAGGATTTTTAGGACAATGGCACTATTTTTTAAGATATAACATTAGATACTTGTATTCATACTTTTGCGCAGATGTGTATAGTATACAATAGAAAGAGTGAACCCTATGGACTTTAACTCTCTATTGATACTGGCTCATCCAGTGTAGCAAATTCTCTAGCTAACATGAGATGTTAACAATAGGGGTGTGTGTGAAGAGACATACCAAATATATGGGAACTCTGTACAGTTTTCCTGTAAACCTAGAACTCCTCTAAAAATAGTCTATTAATTTAACATAATAAACCTAGTTCTTTAGCTTACGTCCTACTCCAAAATATAGTCCAACTGTGTTAAAAATAAATATTTAAAAGTGAAATGTACATTAATGAATATGATAAATTTTCATACATGAAGATTTTACATGTCTCTGAAACAATGTGCCAAAAGAAATAACTTAGTCAATGTACAAGTAAACACATGTTCAATCATAAATAATTAGAGAAATGCAAGCTAAAACAAGGAGCTCTATTTCACCTAGGAAATGTGCAGATATTGAAAATAATGTCAATATCTAACACAAGCTAGGTTATGGGAAAATGGACCATAAAATGGGGTGAACTGGAGGAAACTTTGACAGTAAATATAAAAATTCTAAAAATGATCCATGTCTTCTGACTTAGCAATTTCACTTCACTTCTAAATTATGTGTGGACAAGCAGATACATTTCTATGTTATGGTACTTTCACACTGTGTGAGCCATGCAGTTACCATGTGCAATACCCTTTTTCTATCGAGGAATACATAAGCTGAAACACTGCAACAGGTAACAGACCACTATAACTTTTCAAGGCATAAGTGTTCACGTGTGTGCCTGCCTGTGGATGTTTATTTGAAGTATAAAAGCCTGGAGGGATTTACACTGAAATGTTAAAAGTTCCTGGATAGAGGTTTTCAGATGACTGTAACATGTATTTTCCCTCTTACTAGGATATACTTATATTTACTCATTTCTTAATTTTGTATACTGAACACCTACTATTTGCAGAAAAGTAAAAGTTTCCCCTCCCCACCCTGTCCACCCCCAAATCCTTTGGCTACAGAGAAGCAGAGTCAGGGTGTCCCAGTCCTGGGAAGTTGAGCTTGGCAGAGACAAGAGTGGTGAGCGGGGCCTCAGCCATTGCTGGTCTTTGGTCCGGAGGAGCCCGGGGAAGGGCCTCCCAGCCTTGCCTCCTTCCTGTGCTGGAGAGGAGCACTGGCGGTGCTTGGGGCCGCTGAGAGACTGCTGCAGCCGTCACGGCTTCCCAGGCCTCCCGCCCTAGAACCCCAGCCCCGATCTGGCTCCCCAGCACCCAACTTCCAGCCTTCCTCTCCGGCCCCTGCTGCAGAAACAGCCCCCGGAGGCCAGCTGTTCTGCTGCTGTAGTCCTTGCACCCTCAGAGGAAGGCAGCTTTAGTGGTGGAGCAAAGGTGACTGGGCGTTGAGCCACGAGGTATGGCATTCCCCTCTGCCCTCTGGAGGCCCCCGAGCTGACCCCTCTCTAGCAATCAGTCGGTTTGGCCTGGCACCTGGAAGGGAGGATGCTTTGTCCCTCCCCGAGCCAGCGTCCCTTGGGGTCATGCCCTACCCACCGTCACTCCCACACCTGGGCAGAGGAGACAGACTACGGTACAGTGGGCAGGCCCCTGAGCCTGTGGACTTCCCTTCAGCCCTGGGTGAATGATACCATCTCTGGCCCTCCGTTTCCTTGTGTTTATAAGGGACGCCACAGTGTTGCCTCCCCAACGTTGCTTGAGAGATAACGCTAGTGGGAAGGACAGCGTCCACCTTCCCTGAGAGCCAGCCGCCATCTCACGTAGTTCTCAAGCAACCCTGGGAGACCAGCACTCTAAACTCGCACCCCTCCCAATTTACAGACAAGAAATCAGGGTTCAGAGCTGAAGACACGCACCCTAGAGCAAGGAGAAGTGGGGGAGCAGAGAGAAACAAAGTCATCAGTTGCTGGAACTCAGGCCTTTAACCCCGAGATCACTTGTGAAATTGTTTCCGCCTTGTAGGAGGGGAGATTCTTCGCACTTAGATGGCAAAGAGGGGCCTGGGAAAACTCTGTCCCGGCCCCCGCCCGCGACAGGGCAGGCCGGCTTTCAGCAGCCGGACCCAGGAAACAAGTTGCAAGATCCGGGTGGGCCTGCTCCTACACAGCCGGGACGGCGGGGCGGAGAGTTTTGGATACCTGCCCAGCGCCGGAGCAGTTCTGGGGCGACCTCTCCAATCACCAGGAGGCCGGGCCCCACAGTGACCAATCAGTGGGGACTTTCCCGGCCCTGAGAATGGAGCGAGGGGCTTTGCAAGGAAGCGGGCGGCACCGGGACCGCCTGTCCTTCCGCCGCGGGCAGCCCCCTCCCCTCGCGCAGGTCCCTCTCGCTCCTGCTCCCAGGTTTCTCCTCTGTAAACTGGGTCACTAACACCCGCACCACACAGCGCTGCAGGCTCAGCCCGGGGCCGCGCTAGCGCGACCCGACCCTCTCCCTGCCGGGTGCTGGTGTCTGGGCCGTTTCGTCGGAGCCCACGGCCAGGCTGGTCGACTGCTCCACGAACCCTGGACCCGGATTCCAAGCCCAGCGCCCGGCGGCGAGGCTGGCGGCCCTGCTCGCAACCCTGGCCGTGGGCACAGGCTCGTACTCGGACAGCCTTGACCCCGAGGGCGTCCGGCCGCGCGGGCGCCGCGGAACTCACCAGGTGTCGGAGCTGCAGGTGCTGCAGGCGAACCGAACCTCTGCGGGCTGCGCTCCTGGGTCTGGAGGAGGCGCAGAACAGTCCCGGGCAACAAGGACGTGAACCCGCCCTCCCGAGAGCGCGGGCCACTGCCGGGGCCAGCGCCCGCAGGGGAGGGGCACAGGGCGGGAGAGAGCCACGCCGCGTGGGGGTGGGGACGGTAGCCCTGGCTGCTTAATCGCGGCTGGGCGCGTCGCCCACCCTCTTCTGCAGCCCCGCATGCTTTGTGTCTGAGCTAGCGGACTTGCCGTGGTGCCTTCAAGAATATCCGGGCCAGAGCGGACAGAGTAGCCCAGGAAGTGCTGAGTTCACTTTCCACAAACGTCGGGGTTGAGGGCAGGGAGTGTAAGGTATGACCACTCAGGGTTTTGAAATAGTGCCAATAACTCTGAATACCTGGACATTTTCATTCATCCGTCGTCCAAGAGCAATTTCTATGGTAGTCCTCGGTTTGTGCCTGGGCAGTGCCCTCCCACCTCTCCACAGAGGTTTTCCTCTAGCTATTACCCCTGCCCCACTCACCCTTCCACCCAGTCCAGGTGCACTCCCCTGGGGGATTTGGTCAGACATCTTTCCTCTCTGGGCCAAGGAAAGGAGAAAAGGTATGGGGAATGATAAATACACACACTGGTTCTTGACTGCAAGTCTTTGTCCAAGGGACTCCATTAACCTGACAGGCCCTCCCTACCCTTGTCTTTCCAAGCCTTACATCTTTTAAGGGTTCTCTCCTCCTGAGCTTCAGCCACCTGGCCGTCTTTGTAGTGCACGCTACTTGCTCCAGCCTCAGCTTGTACAGGGCAGCTCCTGAATCAGCTATCATGTCTCAAATATCTGATGCAGAACCTTAGACAAGCTGTTCCAAGTCACACAATCTAAGGGTGTCCCTCAGCCACACCCCTGTCACATCACCCTGTTTTACTTCCTTCACAGCACTAATTGTGTATATGGGATATTCTCTTATTCCTTATCTGTCTCTCCCATTAGACTGTAAGTTATTGGAGATTGGGAAACTTACAAGATACATTCACCCTGTATCCCCAAAACACTGTGATGGCATATAGCAGTGGTGACTTAACGTACATATTTTATCCATGTGCCAGCATGGGCAGCAGGATTGAAGTGACTTATCTCTGCTGGGTCCTCTAGCCCGTCTGCAGGCACTGCCTCCCTATTCTCTCAGTACCCAGGTCTTTCATGCTACAATATTTTTGTCCTTCATATACACTGACCCCAACTCATGAACTTTCTATGTGCTGCTTACCTTCCTCATAATTCACAAAGTTCCCACTAAAATCCACATTTTCAGAGAAGCCTTTGCTCCCTGCAGCCCCTCAAGCCCAGATCCCTCCATTCTACTGCAGAGATGCATCTAAGTTTCCTTCATGAACTCGCTCTCCAATTTTATCACTATTTCTGGATCATTTGATTTACATATCTCCCCCAATGCAGCATGAAGGCAAAGACTATCTTAGCCAACCCCAAGTGTAGTTCTTTGTGCAGAGAAAGTGCTCAATAAAGTTTTTAGGCTAAGTAAGTGAATGCTAGGGATGTGGAGTAGGAAAGTGACATGATCTCAGTCTTAATGCTACAATACAGATGGCAGAAGGACAGGTGACAGGGGCCACTTAAACAAGAGACTAGAGGCTGGACATATCAAAAAGGTGTGTCTGGAAGTCACAGAGGAACTCATCCTCTTCGGGGCAAGAGAGCAGGAGATGAGAGATTAAGCACAAAACTTCTGGCAGAAATATGGAAGGTAGAAAATGTACCAAATGAACTGGATGATCTGGCTGATGAGATTTCCAAGCAGAGTGTTGAAGGTGCCTCCTGACTTCTTTCTGCTTATACTAAATTGTGAGAGAACAGAGATAAACCAAAAGAAATTCTGTTATGTGAAAAGGACCCAGAACTTGATAGTTTTGAAAATTCTCAGCTCCTCCAGATGTCAAATGATGCTGAAATTAACAAAGGGTTTCCAGGCAAAGATCAAATTCGAACTCGTCAGGAAAAGAGGATCTAACGATGAAGCTAGGGGTGTGTATATAAAATCTTTAAGTCCTCAAAAAGAGAAAAAGGGCATTCAGCTAAACAATGGGGCTTCTGAGAAGCTTAACATTGTCTTCACTGGTAGACTCAGCAAAAGTCCAAGGGAAGAAAAGGCTAACACACAGAGATTTGAAAGTCTGACAGTTCTCTAAAGGAACGGGCTTTAATGAGACTCACAGAAGATCACAATGTTTTAAAAATAATGATACTGGCAAAGAGTACCAGGTTGGAGTGGAAAGAGGAAAGACTGTACAAAATGAAAAGAGACCACTGGACTCCCCCAAATTCTACTGGCAGGAAGTAGGCTGGGAAATTGTACAGATGCAAATGTGGGCTTGCTATTGTTCTTTTTTTTTTTTTTCAATTCTCTTTACAATGAAAAAAAAATGGGCTACATTTTACAGAAAAGGACAGCTCAGAGAGTAGAATGAAGAGTCCAAAGGGTGGACCCTAGAGCACGGAGAACCACTTTCAGGCTACAGTCAGAGTGACTCCCAGTTAAGGAACTTTCAGTACCTGCACAGCAGGATTTCAGAATCGCTATTTACTGGTGACTGCTGCCCGTCTCTTATCCTTGTGCTCTTTGAACAGGAACATCTAGCACAGATATTCTCTGCCTGTCCCACTGTTACATATTATGTTGCATATTAAGTGAGTGCTGCGGGGAGGCACAATTACCTACCTCATGAATTCACAAGCCTTCACACTGAAAGCACCCATTCCCTAGGATCCATATAAAGAATTATACACAAGGAACATCATTCACACCTGAACCTGGTTTAGATGCAGGGACTGTGGACACTGAGCTGATTTTGTGGGATGAGGTTTAGTAGATATTAGGTAGGGTAAGCATATTTTTTCATGTGAGAAAGTGTACATAATTTGTGGCTGGTAAGTGGACTATGGTAGTTTAAGAACTTTTGATATTCTTCCCTTCAAGAATTCTTCCCTGCCTCCTGAGCATGGAGTGGATGTAGTTAACTTGCTTCAGAAAAATTAAATATGGTAGAAGTGACAGAAAAACTGAAGCTTGAGGTCAGAGAGTGGCAAAAGGCAGCTCCTCTGTGCCCAGGACTATATGATACTCTCTGAATGACTCATACTATAACCTCCTTTGCCAACTCAGTTCACCGGGCTTGGAATGCCCTGCCACTTATGCCGTTAGCTGAGCCCTGCTTATGTGTCAGTGGTAGTTTTTGTGTCAAACCCAGATTGCACACTATAATGTAACTGTCAATATGATATTCTCTCCCTTCCCTCTCTTTAGGGATGAGGCAGTTTTATCTTAAACTTGTAAGTTTCTCTCAGGGATGCAAAAGAGGCCTCTTTGGCAAATAAAAATGAACAGGTTGGCTCACTGGAAGTTTCTACAGGACCCTCAGTGGTGGCTGTGTTACCCCCAGGAAACGTAATGTATCCTTGCCCAGCCCAGGGTTGTGGTAAAGGGGTTTAGGGGACACTCACTGAATCCAGAGGCAGTTTAGGAGGTGAGTGTGGCTCAGGGCTGTACGGATGGTGAACAGATAGCTGAAGAGATGGATTCTCTTTCTGTTGTATAACCATGATTCAGCGTGTTCTTTGGGAACTCGGTAACTGGGTGCCTTGTGTATGCTGCAAAAGAAACATTAACTTAGACAGGTCTATGGCCTTTGGAAAATCAAAGAAGACAGGTCAAGGAACTGAAACTTGTTTCTTAATTTGAGACCAGTTTGCCCTTTGCTCAGCTGCTGAGAACCCCTGTTCAGCTGTTTTTATCCTAGCTTGTAAATTACACATGGCTTCACCAGACACCCCACTTCTTAGAACTTCTCCCTAGTGGGAACCTAGAATTTAGGATAGCTTTCCTCTATATTTCTCTTTCAAAGGGCCCAATATGTGACTTTGTATATAGGACAAATAGAACTAAAAATAGGAGTTAGCCTCAGTGTAGCTCTGTACCTTGAATTAGAACCCATGCAAAGACTTGGAAGTACATGTATGAGAATGTTTCTCATATTATGATCACAAAGTTCATAACAATTCTTATGCCATGCTTCCCAGCCTTCAGGGAAGCTTGATGTTCCTATACTTTGGCTTGTTGTTTTGGGTGTGTACCCCACTCATCCTCAGGAAGAAATGAGAATAAAGGAAGGTCACCAGCTGTTTCTTCTCTTGAGGTATTTATGTCTTAGAGGGGAAGATGAAAGTGCAGACACAGCAGAAGTCAAAACTCAGAGAGAGGAGCTACTGAGAAAGTGGGCTTGGAGGCACATGCCTGTAATCTCAGCACTCTGGGAGGCTGAGGAAAAAGGGTCATAAGTTCAAGTTCAGCCCAGACAACTTAGAGATTTAGAGAGATCCAGTCTCAAAATGAAAATATAAAAAGGCCTACGGGTATAGTTCAGTATGAAGGCCCTGAGTTCAGTCCCCAGTACAATAAATAAATAAGGAGGCTTTGGTGCACTGGACCTCCCGGGGGAGATAAGGTCTATCGGGATTGAGATTGATATAATTAGGAGAAGATCAGACATTCCAGATAGAAACACTAGTAAGAACAGACACAAGGGTGTGTAGAGGTGGGGATATGAGCTGCTTCTGAGGAACAATGAGAAGCATCCTTCATCACACAGCAGAGTGGAGAATGAGGAGAGCTAGAGAGGTGAAACTGGATTTACACTGTGGTCCAGTGGTGACCAGATCTTATGATTTCAGGACCAGGACAATTTCAAAAGCATTTTAGTAACGGATATTAGGCTCTACGTTTTTTTATTTTGCAAAGTAAGAACATTTTTAAAATAATAAGTTTCATGGAATATTATTCAGTTTTAAAAGGCACATTTTGTCTCATGCTATGTATGAACCCTAGATTAATTGTATGAAGTGAAATTATATTATACTAAGTGAAACATATAAAACAAGACAGTCACAAAAAGACAAAAATTATAACTACTCACGTAAAGATCCTAGAGTAGTCAAATTCATAGAGGCAGAAAGTAGAATGGTGGATGCTGGGGCCTGGGAAGAGGAAATGAGGATTAGTATTAATGGAGACAGTTTCAGTTTGAGAAGATGATAAGTTC